CAAAGGAGATGGAAGTGTAAAGAGATTCAAAGCCAGACTGGCTGTCAAGAGTTTCACACAATCATACGAGATTGACTGTCAGGAAAACTTTGCATTTGTTGCCAAACATGATACACTTCGGTTCTACTCTCTTGTGTAGTTAATCAAGATTGACCTTTTTACCAACTTAATGTAAAAAAATGTCTTTTAGAATGACGACCTTGAGAAAGAAGTCTACATGACTATACCTTTGGGATTGAAAATGAGGTCGAACAACAGGTTGGTTTGCAAGTTGAAGAAGTCCTATCATGGCTTGAAGGAAATTCTATCAAGTTGATTATATACTATTTGTTAAATCCAATCATTGAGAAAAAATTGTTATTTTCATTGTATATATAGATAATATTATCTTAATGGCTAATGATTCAGAAGAAATTATCAGACTAAAAAGAATGCTTGTAATATAATTTGAGATATGCCCTCAGGGCTCTCCAACGTTTTCTGGGAATAGAGGTGGCTTGATTTAAGGAGGGAATTGTCATATCCCAAAGGAAATACATTTTAGACTTGTTAAGTGAAACATACATGTTTGGGTGTAAGCTTGCTGACACACATATAGATTCCAATAAAGGATTGAACGAAAGTGAAGAAAGCAGTCCAATTGATAAAGGAATATATCAAAGATTTATGGGTAAACTACTTTACCTATCACAAACAAATTTGATATTAAATCTTTTGTCGGTGTAGTTTGCTAGCACATGAATAATCCAAATAGGGATCATTTGCAAGCTATGAATAAAATTTTGAGATTCTTGAAGATGACATCTAGATATGGCTTACTCCAAAAGATCTGAAAACTGTGAGGTTGAGATATACACACAGATGCTAGTTGGCAGGAAATGTAATTGACATGAAATCAACCATTGGATATTGTTCAAACACTTGGGGAAATCTTGTCACGTTGAGAAGTAAAAAGCAAGCTGTTGTCTTTCGGAGTAATGCTTAATCTGAATATTATGCTTTTGCACTAAGAATATGGAAGGGAATGTGGATTTAAAGACTATTAAGGAAACTTAAGACAAAAGACATAAGTAAGATGTTTAGTGATAGTCAAGCAACTCTTAATATAATAAAAAAAATTGTGCATTATGACATGACTAAACACATCAAGATTGACCGACACTTCATCTCAGAAAATGTTAATAAGGAAATTGTTCAACTCAGCTATGTTCCCATAAGACTTCAAATTGCAGATATTCTCACCATCACACTATTAAGGGCCAGTCATGATCAATTGAAGTTCAAGTTTGGTTTATAATTCAGTTTGAGGGGGAGTATAGGAAAATGCCAAGCAAAATGCTTGATTGGGAATACATTTATTTTCTTTCCTCATAATATATTTCATTAATTATGTTTTTTTTATTTTTTCTTATTTTTCTATTTCTTCTATTTGAAGGGATTCTTATTTTGATTCTTTTAACTATTATACATATGTAGTAAGGTGCAATGGATTTGAACGGGCGAGAAATAAAATTATTTTCAAAGTTCTACTCTAACCTATAAAGCAGTAGGAGTTGTTCACATCGAAAAAAGGAGGCCAACACCAGGGAATATGAGACAAATAATTATGGTTGGAAATAAGAATTGAGTATGGCTGGGCCCCATAAGAATTGAGGTGACACACGTTAGCGTCGCGACTCATGAGTTACATAGGGGCCGTTAGAGATCACTTTTGATTTTTGTTTTTAGTTTATTATTTTTATTTTTACTTTGTTATGTTTTAGTTTAAAATAAAAAGTGTTTGATATGATATAACATGTTTTGTTATTTTTAAAAACACTTAAAAATAACCTTTAAATATGTTGACTGTTTTTAAAAATCAGTTAATTTGTTTTTTTAAAAGAAAAACATGCAAAAATTGTATTAAATAAAAATGTTTTTAAAATAAAAACAAAAAATAAAAATAAAAAAATATAAAACAAAAATGTTCCTAAACAAGTCCTTAGCATTTTAAGAAATTTTAAATAAATTAAATTATTTTATTAAATTATATCATTAAGATTTAATTTTAATATGATTATATTTTGAACTTTAGAAAATTTGCAAGTAAAAATTAGTTAGATAATATAATCATATTTATTTATTAATAGTTAAAATTTTTAGGGTTCAATATAATTATCTTACTCTTATAACTATTAATTATTAATTTAATTTAACTTAATATGATTGAGCTTTAAATCTAGCTTTAATCGAGTTTATTCATGAGTTTTTTCCATGCTTATCAACAAGCTTTAAATTGAACTTTAGTCGAGTATGTCCACAATCATGTTTATGAGCCTTGAATGAACTAGTTTGTTGAGCTTTTTAATGAGCTTGTTCACAAGCTTTAAATGATAATTTTCATGAATATAAATAAATCAAACATTGAATTGTTCAGCCTTTTTCAATTAACTGTCGTGTTCTTATAAAAGTGTTCTTATAAAAAGAGTTCAAACTGGTTTAATTAGTTAAAAAAGCAAACATAAATAGGCTCTTTTTAATCCTAGCTATGAGTAGCTTGTTGAACATTTGGTTCATTTGAACCCCTAATTTTTACACAAGATACTAGTCTGGGCAGGTTTATCTTTGATAGAAACAATTATAACACAACAATGGTTACTAATGTCTTAATGTAATTTCTTTTTGGTAGTATATTTGCTATGGTTCCATTATAACTATTTCACAATCGTTTATTGAAATAAACATTTGAACATAAAAATGTTTCGTTTTCATTTAAATTCCTGCACTTCTGCGAGTCAGTTACCATTTGAGCAAAATACAGAGTTGAATACATTGTTTTTTGTTGACTTAGCATGCCGTGGCTTCTAACGCAAAATGACAAGGACAATTACCGCTATACTCATCTTAACCGGGATTCAGCTTTTAAAGGAATTGACGTTCATGAGATTTTCATCACAAAGAGTAGAGTGCGGCTTCTTTTATCATACATAGGCATCCTAATATGTCTGGTGAACTGCTACATTTTACTTGCTAAGGTACCAATTTATTTTTTCAGTATTTTTTTTGCATTCTCTACTTTCTTTGTTCCATACTAAAATGAGCAATCTGCATTGATATCATCATCTAATCATCAGCACAATCATTATGTAATAAGTGCAAAAGTCTGTTATGACCATTACTGTAGGCCTTAATTAAAATTCTGAAACCAATCCGACTTTCTTAAAACTACGACCATTACTGTAGGCCTTAATGAAAATTCTGAAACCAATCCGACTTTCTTAAAACTACGTTATGCATCTACACGGTACGAATGAGTCTCTAGTTTTTGAGCTGTTTTTCAACTTTTTATTGCAAATGATGCTTGGAAATACAAGTTTTTTGCTTAATTTAGTGAGCTAAAGGGTCGCAAGATGTCATCCATTTAAAACCATGCAACAGAAAAGATTTTTCTCGGACAGGTTGTAAGTGAAAATTAGCGCATTTTTTGCAATGATATTGGAATATTAATGCCTAAAATTTAAAGTGAAATCCCAGTTGACTAAATTCTTAACTTTTTTGAATACTTAATTGCTTGCTTGCTTGAAATGGTGATTTCTACAATAACAACATTTCTCCATAGTTTATAAGGTAGTACTATGATGCCAAGTTTATTAAAAATGATTTTTGATTCATTTTTAAATGTTAACATGGTGTGCCAATATTGTTAGGTAATCAACACTTTTGACACAATAAATATCAAATTTTAATTCATGGTTGAAAGTAGTCTTTTGATTTGATTCTCTAGGGGGTGTTTTGTTAGCACCTTTTAACAGGATTTATCATCGGATTGACTAAATCTAACCAAACACTAAAATGCAGGAGTTTCGTGGATTTATGAATTCTTAGATTTTGGGTTCTAAATTTTACCTTTGATTCGGCTTAAATCTGGATATACTAAGTCTTGGGGTAGGGTTTATTTAATGGATTTACAATTTATGGACGATATACGAATTTCTATATCCTACTAACATTAAATTCTACTTGCAGCCCAACACCGCCTAGTGAAAATATGACACTAAATAGGACGCAATGGAGAAAAAAGGATTCATGTACCGACCCCACGTAGTGGGATTAAGGCTTTGTTGTTGTTGTTGTTGGTGTAATTAATTTAAATTAATTTATCTTGACTGAACCCCACTTTGTAGTTTTCTTTTGGAACTCTATTTACTCGAACTTTTTACGAAGAATAAACAATGTGCATAGTTTGGGCTTTTTTTAATAGAAAACAATGTCCAATTTGTAATTAATGTTCTTTCGATAGGCAATGTTTCATTTTGTTATTGAGGATTTGTAATGAACCGAATAGGCAATGTTTCATTTTGTTATTGAGGATTTGTAATGAACCGAATAGGCAATGTTTCATTTTGTTATTGAGGATTTGTAATGAACCGAATTACATATTTATGTAATCATATATGTGGCAAATAAGAGCAAAAACTAATAGGGAAAACACATTGTTTGAGAAACTTTATGTGCAATTATTGGGCTTGAGTTTTATAGAATGCTTCTATAGTCTCACTAGTTTCTACAAATCAAGATGGAATGTATGATCTAAGAATTAATGGTTTTGCTAGAAAATAAATTCTACCAAATATATATTGGAATGAAAGAATACGGGCAGGATGGTTGGGGAACTTGAATAGTATTGGTTACATATATGTAAATAACCGAAATAGGTCATAATGTCAGAATATGGGTCTAGAGTTTACAACCTCATCGAACTTCAAATTAATATAAAAAAAATATTGCAAGTCATGCTAACCTTGAGTTTTCTGAGTTTGGGCACAATCTTCTTAGTACTCTTTTATAATGACATTAATTTATTTGAGTTCAAGCTAAGAGTTGGCAAGGGCCTGACTGATTAGTGATTTCGCTGCATTTGATTATGATTCATTTCTTAAATCTTGATGAAGACTCGGGCCTTAGGTTGTCTACAATCAAGTTGTGATGCGGATTTCGTATGAGTGCATGACTTTCCTTTGTGCATGTTATCAAATTGAGATATATTAGTTTGCTGTCTTTAGATTACTAAAAACTTGCGTGGAAGATTGCAGCACTCTGTGGTTGATGCATGCACTTCCAATTGCCGGCTAACATAAATTTGTGAGAAGATAGAAATAAAAAGGGTTTGTGTTAACGATGAATGAATGCATATTTATCCAAGTAAACATTAGTGTCAGGGTTTGCGTGGGTGTAGATATATGTTGCCATTATGAGCTAGCAGTTGCAAGTTTGAACCTTTAACTTTCTCCACTAAGCAGGATTACTACATTTATTTCTCATTATGTGGTCCATCAAATCTATGAACTGATAGTTTAGCCATTTTATTCTTTTTGATCTTGTGAATCCACAAGTGAATGGAATGAGTTCCTGTGGAGCAACCCGGTTTACACATACATGTCACCCTTCATATCATGATTCTCTTAATGTGAAACCTAGTACCTGTATTCTGCTGTCGTATTAAAACATTTTGCCGACTGGCCTTATTTTGCTTGCATTTGCCAATGTAAATTCTAGCAGTTGTATAGCTGGTTCTTATAGGCTGTAGGGGAAAGATATAAAAGACAAAATAAAGAGTGGAGAGTTAAAAATGTTTTCTTTCCATTTCCTTGGCTCTCCTCGTCTCTTCTCCATGACGCCTTCACAAGTTCACTTGGAAGGCACTGGTACATAGATGTCTTTTTGTTCATCTGGCATAGAGCTGTGGTAGCGAAGATCATGCCCTTCCTCTTTCCGTGGCTAAAAATGGATCATCTTTGTTAGAATGTAGCTGAGCGAATTTAATATAGTTTCCTTGGAGGTGGGGAAGGCCTCATCGGTCCTGCATGTCAATTCGCTGTGCATAGAATTTATATGCATCTGGGAGGTTAGTATAGCTTTTGGAGACTAATAGCATGCAGTTTTGACACCACCATTTGTAATAGAGCTCTCTAGCTTGAAAGTTGGCACTCTATCTTGAGAGTTGGTTTTCCGACGACAGCCATGTGCTCATACTGTCAAACTATAAAATACCACACATGTTGCAAGGTTGGGCGTGGTGTTACCCTCTATCCTTAGTGATACCAGATGCAGTTGTGCAGCGTAGTATGCATTATTTATGCATGGCATTTTCCATGGTGCATGGTGCATACAATTTGCGCCATTTTTTTGGAAAAGCGAGATGCAATGATGATTTTTAAGCATACATGAAAATGCACAAAATTTTGAATCAAAGCATGATAATGTCCCCTTCTTTTCCTTTAAAGAAGTTTTGTTATTAGCTTCTTTCACTTCTGTTTGTTTTTTCTTTTCAACCCAATAATCTTTTCTTAACATCGAGGCTGATGACTATCCCTTTGCTGACCAGTTGCTTTTTGGTTATTTAAAATCATCTCAAAGGAATCCATGAGAATTTATAGCTTGCCCGGCATGAGGATTTCTTGGTTTTTTCTTCTCTTAGAATAATTTTTTTTTTATTTTTCTTTGATCTTTCTTCAATGTTGATTTTTTAAAGCTTGAGTGAGTATTTGTTGGTTCAGCTGTTGTTTTGGGTCGTTGATGTCATTGGGAAAAGTTACACTATAGCTTACTTTGCATTTGTTTTATTTTTTTGGTACTATAAGTAACATTAATGATTTGGTTTATATTGTGTATGAGGTTTAATTTTCATGTATGTTGAATAATCTTATGTTCTAACTCCTTAAGGCATTTTTTCTCGTGTTTTGAACTTTTAATATATTATTCATTTTTTTATTATTTGCACCTTAATAAAATATTTCTTGTGAGCAAAGATCGAAGGATTATGGCTTCTATGGACCCTCTTGCCATCATTTGCCATTGACAATTATGCTGGTGTTACCAGCTCTAGACCTTCATATGTATGCGGCTGCAACACTATGCAGCTACTACAACTAGCCACTTGTAAAGAAATGCTGTTGTTGCAGCTTTTGTAGAGATCATTTACCAATATATTCCACCATCATACATATTTTGGTGGGACACTTTTGTGAAGAGAACAATGCTGCAAGTAGAACTAGCCACTTTTCCATGTGATATCCTCTAAGAACATCACGTCACTTGAAATATCCTCCCATCCGAATTTAATCGTTAAATGTATGAAACTAAACTGATTTGGCCCAAAATTTAAACAATGCCTCTATCATGTCATCTTTTATTTAATTTACAAAACTAGCAAATCTTCCAATTCAGGGTAAGGGAAATGAGATTTCAACTTGTTCAATAAATAACTTTCTACTTATAATAGAGGTATAAATATTTTTTGACAGAGTATAGCAAAATACTTGCACTATGAAATTTATATGCATATTATGATATTATCCAAAGACGATTTTCCACAAAAAATAGGGCACCAAATATTTTTATTTCAGAAATAACAACTAATACAACCACGAACACATAAAATAAAGGCTAAACAACTACAATTCGAAAGATAGGCGATCTCTTCCAATTTCTACCATTCGAGGGTAGGAAATTTCTCCCAAACTTAAGACTTAATCTCATGCATCTCCCTGAAACATACTAGTTCTATTTATACTAAATAATAATGAATAACAAAAGATTAAATTGCTCTTAGGCCAAAAAAAGTCCAAATTTTCCTTAGTCTAGACATCGACGTAACATCATTCCCATCCCAAAAGACACATTGTCTTCAATGTGGAAAAAAATGGGATGTCCCTCCACTGCAACTATCTCTGTTTCTTCATCATCTATTTTGTCTTAACACACTGTGAGAATTGGTAATGTTCCATCCTTGCAACGGTGTCCGGAGACGGACTTCTCATCTCACCGAAAATGTAATCCCTTAGCTCTCCTTTTGTGGGAAAAATTTTACATTCGAAGTCCGAACGCAGCTCTGCGTGCGAACTTTCAATAGTAAGCTGCCACGTGGAGGTTATTGTGGAGTTATTGAAGTGAAACCGTGGAGGTTATTTGAGGTTTATTGCGACGGTTAATGCAGTGAGTTATTGAAGTGGAACTACAGAGGTTTTTGAGGGGT